AGCCTGCCCCACGGCGAGAGCTCGCTGAGCCGCCTGCTGTGCGCCCTGCTGGCCGCCCGCAGCAGCCTGGAGCTCTGCCTCTTCGCCTTCTCCAGCCCGCAGCTGGGCCGCGCCGTGCAGCTGCTGCACCAGCGCGGGGTGCGGGTGCGCGTCATCACCGACTGTGACTACATGGCCCTCAACGGCTCGCAGATCGGCCTGCTCCGCAAGGCAGGTAGGCCGGGGCCGCGAGGCGGGCATCCCAGGCCTGGGGCTTAGGTCGGAGGAGCTCTGTGGGGAGGGGCCTCAGGCCCCAGGCCTGGAGGATGATAAGACCCCCCGGATCGTAGGCAGAGGGGAGAGTGTCAAAGGTGGGTACTTGGGGGCAGGGGTGTGAGGACAGGTGAAACCCCATTTATTTCCCGTGGCGGCCTTGTAAGGTCAGGATAGTTTTCCCCCGAGAACCTCCAGGGCTGTCTATAAAGAGCCCTTACTCGGTCGGTGCGGTTCTGTGCAGAGGGGGCTTATACACACCCTGTATCTGAGTGTGAGCCCCAGGGAGTGAGCAGGCTGTGTTCCAGCTAGTGGAGGACGGCCTTGGGGATTTCGAGAGGCCGGGGCCTGCCCAGGGACACGCGGGAAGTGGATGGAGCCCCTGCGATTCCCTGCGTTCCCATGACCTGCATTGGCCTTGGGACCCAGTGGGGAAAGTGTGTGCCTGGGTAGAGCACGGGGTGTGGCTTAGCTGGCTGAGGTTTGACTCTTGCAGCCTGAAATGAGGATGGCTTATCCGACAGCGCTCAGGAAATCGAGGGCGGAGGCTGCAAACACATCTTCAGGCCCCGGTGTCAGGCTGTCAGAGGGCCTGAGAGTCTCGGTGATGGTGCTCACAGGGCCACGTGCTCAGAAGGCAGTGCTTGGGCTACTCCAGGCCTGAAGGAGTAACACAGGAAAAGCCATTTCATCTTAAACCCACTAGTAAATGTCATGCTGGGGCTTCTGAAATGAATACAAATAATATACTCAGAAGTGGAGCTAAAATGTTTAGTTGGTGCGTAGTCAGTTTGTTTCTCCAGCTGCAGAACGAAGGGGAGACTGGCCTGCCTCCCTCACTGGAGTGGGGGACAGATGAGCCGGGAATAGGAATAATTTTAGAGACATTCTGAATTCAGAGCCTCGTCCTACTGTGCATTCTTTGTCTCATCCTTCCCCTCAGTGTCACTGTGCATCCTGGGAGCTCTGTCCCTCGCATTTGTCATGTCAGGCGCACCGAGCCTGACCTTTGTCTCTCTCCATCACTCGGGCACCCAGGAAGGTCATTCCTGCACGAGCCTCTGTTTGACCTGTGGATTCTGGCGGCCGCGCCCGTGAGCCCTGCCCTGGCCGTGGGGCGGTCCCAGCCCACTCTGTTCCGCGCCCGTGAGCACGGGCCTCTTCTGAGCTGGGAGGACACAGCATGCCGGAGCTGGGCTCGGGCTCTCCACGTGGGGACGCACCTCAGTCATCTGGTACCTGGTGCCTCCCTGTGGGCAGAGTTGGAAAGTAGTTTAGATATTGAGGATGTTCATTTCCACTCTCCAGGCAGTCGTGAGTTGTCCTGACTCTGTTGGTCCTTTTAATGGGGACACTTGGGAGGCATGGGCCACGTTAGTTAGCTTTTAGAGAATCATAGAATCTCAGGTTTGGAAAGGGCACTGCGACCAGACCCCATCTAAGGCTTGATTCCCCTCTGATGGCGCCCCAGCCCGTGTTCATCATTCGTCTGCTCAGCAGATAACATCTGTGTGCCGGCAATCACTGGGACGGGTCCAGGCGCCGGGCACGGTGGGCAGTGAGTCCCAGTTCACCTGTGACCTGGGAAGCTGGCTGAAGCGTGACTGTTAAGGTAGTAAGAAGGGTCAGGAAATGGAATAAAGCAGGGTGGGAGGCGTGGGGTGGCCCGGGACAGCTGCTCAGAGGCGTCACATGAAGGCAGAGCTTAGGGACGTCGGGGACATCTGGAGGAGGAGTCTTCTCATTTGAGAAACAGCAAGTACAAGTGTAACTTCATGTGTTTGAGGAACTGCAAGAAATCCCCTGTGGCCGAAGGTGGAAGTAGTAATGAGGAGAGGCCAGAGGGCACACAAGCATGGAAGTCACACAGGCGTGGAGGGCACACGGGTGTGTAAGTCACACAGGCGTGGAGGGCACACGGGTGTGTAAGGCACACAGGCGTGGAGGGCACACTGGTGTGTAAGGTGCAGGTGCGGAGGGCACACGGGTGTGTAAGGCGCACAGGCGTGGAGGGCACATGGGTGTGTAAGTTACATAGGTGTGGGGGGCACAGGGGGGTGTAAGGCACAGGCGTGGAGGCACATGGGCGTGTAAGTCACAGGCACGGAGGTCACAGGGGGGTGTAAGGCACAGGCGTGGAGGGCACACGGGTGTATAAGACACACAGGTGCGGAGGGCATGCAGGTGTGTAAGGCACGCAGGCTCAGAGGGCACACGGGTGAGTGGGGTTGGCTTCATGCAGGGGTGTTGGACCCTGTTCTGTGAGATGGGAAGCCCTTAAAGGTTGGTCAGCAGGGCAGAAGGGACAGAGGCCTCATAGAGGTTGTCCAGGCCGCTCTGACGAGCATGGGCTTTGGGGCAGGAGTGGGTGGTGGATGGCAGAGCCTTGCGGTAGTGTTGGAGGTGGTCGGGAATGGTCGGATTTAAGGTCTGTCTTGAAGGGAGAGCTGATGGCATCTGCCGGTGGGCGGCTGGTTATGGGCTGAGCAGAAGGGGCGCCGGGGTCCCCGGGGATGAGGCGGCGCAACTTTCACGGCAGCATTGCTGGGCAAAATACAGGACGCCCAGGTGAATTTGAACTTCAGGTAAGCAACGAGTTATTTTTAGTCTTGGGACTAAATTGCCTGGGACATACCTTCAAAAATGATTTGTTGCTCATCTGAAATCTCAGTTTAATCTGGACGTCCTGTAGTTTTGTTTGCTAAGTCTGGCAACCCTGTTGCAGAGCAGCTATGTTCAACTCTTCTCTCAAGTCACATTTCTAACGGGCTCGTTTGCTGATAAGCAGCGAGGCAGACCTTCTTCCCGGGTTGATGCCTGGTGGACGGACAGACCGGGTCCTGCCCCCGGGGAGTTTGAAAACAGTGGGGAAGAGAGACAAACAGTAAAACAGAAGGCAAGGATCACGAGGTCTTTGCTGAAGGAAACAAGGCGAGGTGAATGAGAGTAATTCGTCTCTACATCAGGTGGGGCTCTTTCTGCCTCGGGGGTCAGAGGCTGGTGCAGCTGGGAGCTCACTGGCCGGATCCGCTGGCTCCTGCGCTGCTCCCTTGGCCGGTCCCCCCGCTTACAGAGGGATGTGTGCATCCCGGCCTGGGGGTGCTTACAGGGGTGCTCCAGTCCTGGGCAGCAGTGGGAGCTTGGGGGCAGGGAAACCCAGGGAGTGATTTTTGCTCTGATGGCCTGTGTCTGGGTTAATGACCAGCTCCTCCCGGAACAGGACCTCTGAAGGGCTGTGCTGGTTCTCTGCACCCCGGAGGCTGCGGGTGAGCCTCACCCAGATCCGGGGCTGGAGGCGGGTTGGCAGATGGAGCCATGTGAAGAGAGCAGCGTTTCCACGTCTACCAGGCCCCTGCTGCCGTCCCACCCCTCCGGACCGTGTGCCCCTCCTGCTGGATACTCCGCATTCCCACTGCATTCCCCTGTGAGCTGGTTGTGGCCAGCCACCGTGGGGCTCAGCCGCCACCACCCGTCCCAGCATGACAGGCTTCCTCTTTCCCACCAAATTGGAAACAGAGAGCAAAATGAGTAGCTGCTAGACGGGGCCCACACGTGAGGAGGAGCTCAGACGCCTGAATGAGGGGCAGTGGGGAGGCGGGGTGAAGGCTGACTTGCCCTTTTTGCAGGTATTCAGGTTCGGCATGACCAGGACCTGGGCTACATGCATCACAAGTTTGCAGTCGTGGACAGGAAGGTGCTGATCACCGGCTCTCTCAACTGGACCACGCAAGCCATCCAGAACAATCGAGAAAACGTTTTGATTCTGGAGGATGAAGAGTATGTGAGGCTTTTTCTGGAAGAATTTGAGCGTATCTGGGAAGAGTTTAACCCTACCAAGTACACCTTTTTCCCACAAGAGAAGAGAAGTCACTGAGCTGTGCTCTCCGCTCTTCTTCAGAGCTGGCGGGGAGAGTGGTGTTGCCGTCACAGGACTTCGGTGCCTCCAGGCAGAGCCAGAGCAGACCTACAGAGAATGAGACCCAGACCCCCGTGCCCTGGCCGGAGCCGCTGCGGGGTTTGGTGCCGGACTCTGCATTCTGCGTGAGAGAAACCTCAGTGCTAGAAAAAAACACTGAGTCTGCATTCTCGTTCATGCCAACGCTGAAGCGACCTGAAGAGTTCGGGGTTAGCAGCAGGTCGGCCGTCTGGGCCTGAGCTTGGGGGTTTTTCTCTCCACCCCAAGTCAGTTCAGCCACAGCCTCTTACCAGTGTGTGCTCGGGGTTGGGGTCAGAGTTGGAGGGTTTCTCCTCCCGCCCCACAGAGAAGGCCCAGTGCTGGTCTCGGCTTGAAAGTCCAGTTTCCTCTCTTGACTCCAGACTCTCCTGTTTGGCTGACGCCAGCAGGTCAGCCCTGTCGGCATCTCCTGAACTGTCTCCTCTTCTCCCTTTGGCCTGGCCCATCCCGTCCAGTGCAGCTGAGCCCTGGGGTCGGCCAGAGGTTGACAGTTGCTTCCTCCCTGCTGTCACCAGCTCCTGGGTGGCTGATTGGTGGGTTGGAGTCAGAAAAGGGAAAAGAAGGAAGGAAGGAAGGAAGCAGGGCTGGGAGGGCGGGCTAGGCCCGCCAGGCACAGGGAGCTGCCTTCCAGGCCCCTGGCGCAGGCCGGTGGTCCTCTCTCCTGGTTTCCCCGCATAATTTCTCTGTGAAACAAGACGCATGAAGACGTGCGCTCCCCTCTGCCTTCCTGTGGGGAGGTGCATGGTCTGGCAGGAAGGGCGGGAAGCGGCCAGAAGCTGCTTCTGTTTCCATATATTATGCTTTTAGTTTTTAGCATTCTCACATTCAAGGTGATCTTGTTGTGCACTGAGAAGTGACTTTCCCTTGAACACCCGCGGACTCAGCTGAGTGGCGTTTTTGGCTCTGAACCGCCGCGAGTTATCCAACTGTCTGGAATAGAGGAGAGGCCGGTTTCAGGCTGTGGTACCGTACAGATCTATCTTTATTCTCAGCTCAGGGTTTTGCATTCACAGGTAATTAGGAGAACAGGTATCTTATATACGTTTGTGAAATGTTCCAAATGCATTTTTTCATAATGTGTATCTTTATATATAGATAGCTCAAATACCATCTGAACAGTTCTGTGACCGTCTTGTTGTATTTCTGTCATATGCTGTGTGACCTGTCCTGAGGTCTGTTTGGCACGTCCGTGGGTGTCACCCTTGCTGTCCTGCTCCCATAGCCACCTGGAGAGACCATTTAGTGTTGCATGTTCTTTCCTTTTTAAAGTTATCTCTGACTTACGTTGTTAGGCAAGTAAACCCGAAGTTAGTATTTGTTACTTAATGGAAGCTATAAAGTATAACACACGGGTTGGAAATCACAAGAAATGGTTTACACTAATGTGCTCTGTCCCCTGAGTGTGTGCTCCAGCAGTGTGTGTTCTCTGAAGAGAACACAGGAGAAGCTGCCGAGTGTCTCTTGGATGATGAAGCCGTGTGGTCCTGGCCTTCCCGTGCGTTTGAATAAAAGTGTTCTTACTCTGGAATGTTAGTGCCTTGTGTCTCTGTCGTTTGCTCTGTCATTCAGATAGTGGCTGCTCTTTATTAAACAAATACAGTGTTTTTTCGTGGTGGGGGCGGCAAACAGCTGATACAGCTAATAGAAGCCGTTGGTCACAACAGGAGCCTCGCAGAGAGGAGCCGGATCTGAGGTGTGGCCTGGGGGCCTCCTGAAGGCTGGTCCAGGACCTCCACGCTGCTTGGGGTACGACTTCCAGCCGTTTTCCTCCCCCCAACCCGGCCCGTGGAGGGGCATGCGCAGCCCGCTCCCCCAGCGGTGCCTGGGTCTCTGCTCTGATCGCACCCCCTTCCTCTGGAAGCAGGCTGGCCTTCGAACGCAGATGAATTAGTGACAGGATGCAGATAAAGTGATCTAGTCAAGCTATCTAGATCCATGTTTTAAAAATTGTGAAATGATCTCATCTTTTTATTTAATATATTATTTATATTACTTTGTTATTTTCATCATCTTAACAGTGGTGGGAAATTGAATCTAATAAAGTTTTAGATAATAGTTAACTTTTCTGAAAAGAACTCGCAATAAATAAAACTTCCTGAGGGACAGGGCCGAGGAAGGGTCGCACAAAATACACCCCCAGGGTGGAGGTTGTTCCGTCTCTGTGGATGAGGTGTCTGCACACGACTGCCGGGCCCGACTGCGGACCGGCCCCGCCCCACTGACCGAGAGCGTGCGGGCAGCCGGGCCAGCTGAGAGGGATGGGGCGTTGGTGTCCGAGGCCGTGCCGAGTGCCCAGGGTTCAGGGTCTGTAAAAGCAGATGAACTAAGTGGCTGATCTCGAGTCGACTTCAGGCTAAGTGGCTTTGTCCTGAGTGGCAGTTATTGGGGCTAGTCCAGGGATGGGCGGTCATGCTGAGACCCCCTCACACTGCGGCTCTGCCCTCTGCCTGGCGTCCCTCGGGCAGGTGACACGAGGCCGTGGCCCGAGCACTGAATGGAAGAAGGCTGGGAGGGGCCTCGTGTGGAGTGTGTGTTGCCTGAAACTGCTCTGCCTACAAGGTTCTGTCGCGGCTGCCCACAGAGAAGCTTTCAGAGAAGCGGTCAGTTCCCCCAGGAGGCTGGGCAGTTCCTTCAGAGAGGAGTCGGGAACCTCTCTCCCCTCCCTGCACCCCACCTCCCCCGTAGGCTCTGTAGCCTCGTGGTTTTAGTTCAAGGTTGTCATTTTAACTATGGGACAGTGATACAGCTTAACAAACCTGATGTTGTGAAAGTTAATTAAACACTGGCACAGTTAACTTTAAACTATTTTAAACACTTGCAACCCTTGTGATTAAAAAAACTGTCATGGTAGTAGTATATGGCCTTAACAGCCTACCCACAACCGTCAGACACACCAACAACGTGTGAATGAACTAACGCAACCATGTTGTATTTTAAAGCACCATATTGGATCTATTGAATTTTTTTTTGTGTGAGGAAGATCAGCCCTGAGCTAACATCGATGCCAATCCTCCTCTTTTTGCTGAGGAAGACCGGCCCTGGGCTAACATCCGTGCCTGTCTTCCTCCACGTTTTATATGAGACACCACCACAGCACGGCTTGACAAGCGGTGCATTGGTCCGCACCTGGGATCCGAACCTGTGAACCCTGGGTTGCTGAAGTGGAGCTCAAGAACTTAATCGCTACACCATGAGGCCAGCCCCTGAATTGGTTTTTGAAGCAAGTGATTACTTTTTAAACAACACTTCATTGAGATTCATATACCATAAAATTCACCCTTTTAAACTATGCAATTCAGTGGTTTTTAGTATATTTGCAGAGTTATACAACCATCACCACTGATTCCAAATGAGATGAAAATGCATCTCCCCAGAAAGTAACCCTGTCCCAATAGCGGTCACTAACCTTTCCCTCCTACCCCGGCCCCTGACAATCGCTGATCTGCTTCCTCTCTCTCTGGATTTACTTGCTGTGGACATTTCATATAAATGGAGTCCTACACTATGTGGCATTTTGTCTCTGCCTTCTGTCACTTAGCAGAATGTTTTCGAGGGCCATCCATGTGTCAGCATTTCACTTCTTTTTATAGCTGAGTAATATGCCATTGTATGGATAGACCACAATCTGTTTACCTGTTCATCAGCTGATGGACATGTGGGTTGTTTCCACCTTTTGGCCGTTACAGATAATGGTGCTGTGGACATTCACATACAAGTGTTTGTGTGGACACGTTTTCATTCCTCTTGGGTATATCCTTCCCTAGGAGGTGGTACTGTGGGACATCTAACTCTGTCTAACCATTTGAGAAACCGCCAAGACTGTTTTCCACAGTGACTGAACCATTTTACGTTCCCACCGGCAATGTACGAGGGCTCCTTTTTCTCCACATCCTCGCCAACAAAAAGTTATTTGACTAATTATAACTCAACCTATTGGTTGTGAGGTGGTGTTTCACTGTGGTTCTGACTTGCATTTTCCTGAGGACTAATGATGTGGAGCATCTTTTCATGTGCTTACTGGTCATTTACATATCGTCTCTGGAGAAATGCATTCAAATCCTTTGCCCATTTTTTTCATTGGGTTGTCTTTTTATTCTTGAGTTATACGAGTTCTTTGTATATTCTGGATACAAGTCCCTTATCAGATACATGATTTGCAAATATTTCCTCCCTTTCTTTGGGTAGTAGTTTCACTTTCTCCATGGTATTGTTTGTAGCATGTGTTATTAATTTTGATATAGTTCAATTTACCTGTTTTTACTTTGTTGCTTGTGCTTTGGTGTCATATCTAAGAAATCATTGCCCAACCCAAGGTCACAAACATTTGCTCCTGTTTTTTTTGAAGAGTCTTATACTCTTGGCTCTCATATACAGGTCTGTGAACCATTTTGAGTTAATTTTTTTGTATGGTGTGAGGTAGGGGTCCAACTTCATTCTTTTGCATGTGGACAGATAGTTGTCCCAACACCATTTATTGAAAAGATTATTCTTTCTCTCTGAATGGTCTTGGCTCCCTTGTTGAAAATCAGTGATCTTACATGTAAGGGCTTCTTTCTGGATTCTCAATTCTGCTCCACTGATCTGTATGTCAGTCCTTACGCCAGTACCACACTGTCTTGATTGCTGAAGCTTTGTAGTAAGTTTTGAAACCTAGTAGCATGAGTCCTCTGACTTTGAAAAAGAAAAACTTTGTTTTGATTGTTTTGGGTCCCCTTACATTTCCATATGAATCTTAGGATCTGCTCATCAACTTTTGCAAAAGCAGCTGGGATTTTCATAGGGATTGTGCTGAATCTATAGATCCAGTTGGGGAGTATTGCCAGTCTAACAATATTTTGTCTTCTAATCCATGAACCTTTATTCCTAAGTATTTTATTTTTGGTGTTATCACAAATGGAATTCTTTCTTAATTTGTGTTTCAGATTGCTCATTACTAGTGTATAGAAATCCAGTTGATTTTTGTATATTGATCATGTAGGCTACAAACTTGCTGAACTCACTTATTAGTTTTAATAGATTTTTTTTGGTGGATTCCTTAGGATTTCCCATATACAAGATCGTGTCATCTGCAATAAAGAGAGTTTTACTTCTTTCTTTTTGATATGGATGCCTTTCTTTTTTGCCTGATTGCTCTGGCAAGAATCTCCAGTACAGTGTTGGATAGATATGGTGAGAACAGATACCCTTGTCTTGTTCCTGATCTGAGAGGAAAAGCTTTCAGTCTTTCAATTGAGTGCGATGTTAGCTGTGGGTCTTTCATAGATGTCCTTTATCATACTGAGGAAGTTCCCTTCTATTCCTTCAGTTCTATTCCCTTTTATTCTAGTTGGTTGGTGTTTTTATCATGAAAGGGTGTTGGATTTTCCAAATACCAACTAATTTTCAGAATTGCCTTTACATAGCTTTAAAAAAACAGTGACTTAAAGCAATATATTAGAACACCATGGTATTAGACCAGTGTCCAAAAATTGTCTACTTTTGACTATTTTTTTAATAGGTAAAAAATTATTGGAACATCCTTAAACTGGAATAGCACACTGGAAATATGTATCTTTTATGTCTGTACTCAACTTTATTTTTGCTAAGTTTTATAAATTCCATAAAGTTGATTTCTAATAGGTAGAGTCAGGCTTTTAATTTTTATTTGTTTATCTGAATAAAAGTTTGGATTCCCACACAGTCATTTTCACATATTTCATTCCAAAGGTTGTGGCAATATTGGGAAAAAATCTAGTTTCTTATTTTAAATTTATTTAATGAGTCACAACTAGAATTTAGAAAATGAAACAGAATGGAGACATCAGAGTATATCCTAGTAAGGGTGCATTATTTTGTGAAATTTTGGGTTGTGGTTGTAGTGTCTGTATTGGGTCATGATGTAAGATGCATTTTTTTTTAAAACAAAAAGTAAAACCTTATCTTAAATAAATCTATTAATAAAGGGGCAAGTATGGGAGAGTTACAGTTCCTTCTTCTCAACGGTATTTCTAATTGTCATTTTGCCCTCTTGAAT